GGAACATCTTTCTACATCTGATGGTGGAACATCTTTCTACTGATGGTGGAACATCTTTCTATGGCTGATGAGCAGAGCAGAGAGGAAACGTCTGTAGAGGCTAGAACATGGAGATGGTTCAACATCTGCAGGATGAGGAGACCACATTAGCTTCAGGGTTTCACATCTGGAAACATGTTGGACATGATGGCTGCAGGTTTTTATATTTTAGTAAAATAAAAGTTCCTTCTCTCTGGTCTCCATGGTTCTGAGTCCTGCTGACAGAAGACGTCTCTGAGTTCTGTCTCCTCCTTCATGTTCTGGTTCCTCAGAGGTGCAGGACTTTATGCTGCAGACAAACATGAAGCTCAGAGAAGAAACATGAGACAGAAGCAGAAAACACTGTGAACCTTGAGAGTTCAGAGAGTTTAACCTGGAAATTAAGGATCAAGTCAAAGATTCAAAGTTGTTGTGAAAAGCCTGTAAAATATCTCAACCTGTTGACTCAAAGCAGTCTGCAAACTTGGACAACATGAACTCAACGCCACGAAAGTGTTGACGAAACCTCAAAGCTGAAACTGAAAGTCGGGATTAAACCAGACTGAAGCCAGGATTAATGCCGGTTAAATTAAGTCCAGTAGAAGTTACTTTGTCGTCCGTTCTGCTACACGTCTACACACAGAGAACTGAAACGGCGTTTCTCTCAAACCCTCGTTTAAAAAAACACACACAGCTGAAAAACGTGCAAACTAAAAACTATGTAAGCTAAACGTACAATGAGCTAAAAGATAATGCAGATAAGTGTTGTGGCAGATTTAAGATGAGCCTGTCAGATCTGTGGGTTCTGAAATGCGTTTGATAAAATGTGAAATGGTTGCGACCTTCTACAAAAACGTGAGATTTGGAATTTTGAGATAAACCCACCAGACAGTGTGACTGAAAGAGGAAGCAGGTGGATGGATGTGGGCGGGGCTGACGGGGCTCCTCTGTTCCAGGATCAGCATCTTCTGTATGGGATACCTGGTGGCCTGCTTCTACTTCCTGCTGGTGGGAGGAGACCTGCTGCTCAAGCCGCCGCGCTCCATCCTGCTCTACTGGGACTGTCTGATCGGCTACAACGTGTTCGTCATCACCATGAAGAACGTTCTGTCGGTGAGGACCATCTCCACCTACCTGTCTGTCTCTACCTGTCTCTGTCTCACCTGCCTGTCTTCCACATGTCTGTCTCTACCTGTCAGATCCTGGCCTGTGGTTTCATCAAGTCGTTGGTGTTGAATCACTGTTGGTTGATTCAGCTCTTCAGTTTGGCCTGCACCATCAAGGGATACACCAGACGTACGTAGCCTGTCTGTCTGTCTGTCTGTCTGTCTGTCTGTCTGTCTGTCTGTCTGTGAGTCGGCTGAACGCTGAGCTGAGCAGCTTGAGGCCTGAAACATGAAACATGAGAGAATCGACCGACCAGTTGAAACATTTCCTGAGAGCAGCTTTTGTTTGCCAGATGTTTCCTGGTTAATGTTTTGCTTTGTTAAATCCAGGTGTTGGACATTTTACTGCATTAATATCAGGACTTTTGACACTTTGAGGCACTGATGTCCAGACTTTGACAAAGAGCAGGTCTTGTTATTCTCTACAACGTGATGAATGGAAACGGCCCTGACGAGACACCTAAGTCAGGCCTCCAGGTAGCAGCAGTGTGGAGATGCAGGATGTGTCTGTCCAGGTGTCACTGCTCACCTGTGTGTTGTCTGCAGCGGAGCAGCAGAGCAGTAAACAGTGCGAGCTGCCGAGCGACGAGGCCGGCATCATCTGGGACGGCGTCTGTTTCTGCTTCCTCCTGCTGCAGAGGAGAGTCTTCAGGAGTCACTACTTCCTGTATGTGGTGCTGGACCTGCAAAACACACAACTGCTGGCCTCCAGGTACAGTCAGCAACACACACTCACTGACACGCACAGGGTCGCGTGATGCTAACGCGGGTGTGTGCTGCAGAGGGGCGGAGCTCTTCGAGGCGTCCACGGTGAAAGCTGTCCGAGCGAGACTGGAGGTGGAGAAGACGTCCATGGACCTGCTGAAGAGACAGTAAGACACTGGAAACGAAAGAAATATCTCCAGTATGTGGAGACACAAGATAAAAATTAAACATCCGTCCATCATCTGAACACCTCAGTACCTGGACAGGTAACCAGTCTGTCCCAGCTGACTCAGGGTGAAGGCAGGTTCACCTGGACAGGTAACCAGTCTATCACAGGGCTACACTTAGAGACAGACAACCAAGCACACTCACATTNGCTAAGCTAAGCTAACAGTTTCCTCTCTGCGTCCAGTGTTTGTGCTAGGCTAAGCTAACAGTTTCCTCTCTGCGTCCAGTGTTTGTGCTAAGCTATGCTAACAGTTTTCCCTGCTTTCAGTCCCTGTTGGCTCAAACTCAGAAGGTCCTTCAGTTGATCGTGTATGTTTTGGTGAAGCTGCAGCATCAGGTTTGTTATGTTTCAGATTATCCGTGGAGACGTTTGTCCTCCAACGTCGACTCCAACGTGGTCAAGTGGCTCTTCTTACCTGATCACCTGACACCTCCAAACCCACTCTTCCTCCTCTGTAAGACCCTCATCTTCCTCGTCATCATAATGTTAACCTCGAAGCAGTTTCTCCCCGTTTTCTACGTACGCTGGATGTAAACCGGGCGTTAACCTGAGAACACCTGTGTGTCTGTGCAGATGACTTCCTGCTGCTCCTCGGGGCGTCGCTACAGCTGCAGGTGTTTGAGGAGGAGCTTCAGCCGACGGTTCAGGTGCTCGCAGGAGACAATAGCGAGCTGGACGAAGACGAGGCACAGATCTGTGATCCAATCAGACGGCTCCGTCTCAGCACGGTGCCTGACTTCATGCTGTGCAGGTAAATCCCGCCCACCTTCCCACCTTCCCACCTTCCCACCTGTACGTCTCTCACCTCTCTGTGTCTTCAGGTCTTATCTGGACATGATGAAGGTGATCATCTTCAGCTACATGTTCTGGTTCGTCCTCACCATTATCTTCATCACCGGGACAACGAGGTGAGGGGGCGGGGCCACAGACACCTGAGTCATTTATAAAAGTGAGCAAAAGAAAATGTTGTTTAACCCTCTGAACCCCTCAGCAAACCAGTTCTCTTTAAATATCTCCAGAATGATTTATTTATCAGCCAGAAACTGTAAATACAGAAAGAATCATTGAATTCCAAACGGTCACTGAACGCATCGTCTGTGACGTGTGGTTTCATCATGTTATGAACTAAGCGATGGATCGAGAGACTGAGAGGAAAACCCAACCTACTGGACCAATATATACATGCAGCATGGATCAGAACCAGAGACCAGAGGAGCCAGATGGTGGAGATACATTCAGCTGATGGTGGAACATCTTTCTACATCTGATGGTGGAACATCTTTCTACATCTGATGG